AGGGAGAAGATGGAGTCAGGGATGACTCCTGGGTTTCTGGCTTGTGTGATGGAGTATAACGCGAGCCGTTCACTGGGAGAAGGGCACCTGAACAAGAGGCAGTAGAGTAGGGCGGACCTACTCATCAGTTGCTTCCTTCCTTCCATCCTTCATTCCTTCTTTCCTTCCTTCCTTCCTTCCTTCCTTCCTTCCTTCCTTCCTTCCTTCCACCCATCCTTTCANAAAAAAGGTTTCAAGCATGGGGTTAATGTGATGCCAGATATGCTGGGAACTATTTCAAGCAAAATAACATGACAAATTTGTGCTTCATGAGTATTATCAGCATGGTGCCTGGAATAGCATAACAGGTGTTCCTTCTTTAAACTCATTCTATCAACAAATATCATTGAGTACCTACTATGTATACCGATGCTGTGCAGACACTGTGGCAAGTCACAGTCATGAGCAGGACATACACAATCCCTGGTGCACAAAGCTTACATTTCTAATCAAGTTGCAATTAATTAACAGCTAGTTAAACAATTAATTGTTAAACTGTATTTATTACAAGTGCTCTGAAGGAAAAGCACAGGGTTCTATTAAAGCATATAACAGGCAGGTCAGCATGGTTTGCAGATCAGGGCAAAACTCCCTGAGAATGTGACATTTGAATAGAACAGTGGTGAAGAAGTAGGTGAAGTTGGAGCAATAGAGGAGAGTTGCTGGTGTCAGGGGGCATGGCCGAGGCTCCCAGCCCACCCTCCCTCACTGGCTTAGTAGCCCAGAGGACTTCTGGGCCTTCTAGGTTTTATAGGTGTTCTTTGGTGATGTGAGACCTTTACTAGTTTATATCAAACTTTGTCCTTGGTCTGTGGGTATTTTCTTTTTTCTTTCAGTTCTGTGTTGGATTGTCTGCTGTTCCCACCACTTAAACTCTGCACTGGAACTAATTTGTTGTCCTTTGCTTACTTCTCAAATGGGGAACTTCCTGTGTGGACCAGCACTTGAGCCCTGTGTTTGAGATAAATTGCTGCTTTGCTGCTGATTCCTTGGGGAAGGCTTTTTGTGCAGCTGAGGTTTTAATGGTTGACTTTACAGGTACTTCTGAGTTTCAAGAGATCCAGTACACCTGGGTTGTGTAGAAACTCTGGTCTGGGCCTGAGTCTTTTCAGCAAACTGCACCCTCTGCAGTTCTATATTCCTAACCAGTCTCCACTGAGTGGTCCTGTGCTGATTAGGGGGCAGATCAGCTGTCCATGCTGTGCCCCAGTGTTCCTCTGGTGGACTTGTCTCCCCCATGGCCCATGCTCCAAACACTTCCCATGGGGCAGGCCAGGCACTGATCCCTTGTGATGACTCATCAGCCTCTGAGTGGCTCCTTTTTTTCAGTTGTTGTGGCTCCTCGCTCTTGCATGGGTCCACAGGAACCCTATTAGTGGTCTTGCTGGGCTGGAGACCCCCAAGGCCCTCTTCTCCCCTGCCACCTTCAAGCAATTTCATCCGAAGGGCACAGCTGTGGCTTTTGCTGGCTCCTGCTCCATGCTCTCAGCAGCTCTAGCCTGGAAGCAGCCAGGATTCAAAAAGGTCGGAGCAGTTCCTCTTACTCTCATGGTGGCTTCTCCTGCCTTCATGCACTCCATAGGTCTCTTCTCTTCCCCTGATCTCTAGGAGCCTCAGTTTGGCAGTTGTTGCTTTTTAATAGTTGTAAATTGGTTGATTTGTGGAAGAGAGTGATGCTTGGGACTGTCTATTCCTCCATCTTGACCAGAAGCCCCCAGGAAATTCACTTTTAAAAGACCACTCGGGATTGGGAAGGTGGAGAGCATGGGAGGATACAGGGATATCAGATGACGGTAATTTGGACTAAAATGGTGATCATGGTGATAGAAAGAAAGGATGGAATTGAGAGCTGTTGAGGAAGTAGAGTCAGGAGGGATTTGTGAGAGTGAGGGAGAAGATGGAGTCAGGGATGACTCCTGGGTTTCTGGCTTGTGCCAGATGACAGCAGGGGAGACCAGGTTTGAAGACTTGTGTATAAAGATTATGGGTTTGAATCAGGTCATGATGAGTTTGAGTGTCATGTTAAAAATTTTTAAATCACCAAGTCTTTACACACATACAGTCTAGACAATCAAGTCACAGATCAGTATTTGTGAGAGCTAGGGTTGCTGGAAAGTCTGGCAGAGAAAGGGTAGATGAAGGAAGACCTTTGCAAAAGCAGCTTGGTTCTCTTGGTCCTGATCTTGTTTTAAACCAATGCTGAGACAAGCATAAAAGGAGTCCTCAACAAGATGCAGCAGCAAGAATCCAGTGTGACATTACCCAGAGGTCTGTGTTCAAGGTTGAAAGTAGTACTGAAAAAAAAAAAATAAGCTGTCTGCGTCTTCCTTGCTTGGCTCTAAGCCTCAGTGCCTGCTGCTAATTCAAGCTGTTAATAAAAAGAAGGCAATCTCCACTCCCCCATCAATAGAAAAATAAATAAATAAAACACCATATGAAGAAATGCATAAAGCAAAACAAGTAAAGAAATGGCTGAGAAAGGAAAAAACAAAGTCAATAAAAGCTATCGATCAGGGATGCTTTAAGAATGTAAACATTCAATATTGAAAAGAAAACAGAAGCATAATTGTAGCTGCTGTTTAATATTTACACAGCCTTCATTAGAATGATGCTCATATTATTACAGTACAAGCTGGAAGGAACAGGTGACCTAAGCGGTGCTGTAAGAGGTTACCACTGACTGTGGGGATATCACATCGAGGGAAATCTAAGTTTCAGTGATAAAGGCCAACATCAGACTGAACATTCTCTTTTTCTTTTGTCGGCTTACTTATTTGTTTTATTTTGTTTTGTTTTCTGAAATTTGTTCTTCGACAGATTCTGTGGCAACAGCATCCGGGCCTCTACTAGTTGAAGTTGCCAAAACTCCTGGTGCCAGCCTTGGGGTTGCCCTAGCTACCTCGATGTGCTGTAACAAACAGGTCATTGTCATAGACAAAATCAAATCTGCAAGTATTGCTGACAGGTGAGTGTCATAGAAAGTGCCTATTTTTCAAAACTCCATGTGTATTTAAAAATATATATATATATATACACACATACACAATATATACACACATATATATGCATACACACACATTCACACAATAAACAGCTCTCTTGCCAGTTTATACAAGTTTCACATAGGGAAACTAGTTTATTTTTGTGGGGCTTAAAAATTCACCTGCCTTATCAGCCACCCCATGATGTAATTTCAGCTCATCCAAATGTTTGGGTGGCCTTTAGCAGTAGAAAAAAAAGTCAAGCCACCAAGCAAGTTTTCTTACTGTGTCCTAGGATAATCACCTTTTCTTGATGTCAGGTAGCTAAGCAGATCTTTATTAAACCCCATGCAGAGAAATCATGGGTTTTCCTGAACTGTTAACAACTAAATCCTACTACCATAAAATCTTCTTCCTTTTTTACTTAGATAAACAAAACACTATTTCTAAAATTATGCAGTCTTCAAAGAAAGGTCTTATACTGTCATAATATGTTAATCTTAGTGTCTCATGACCTTCAAGGATCTCTTAAAACATCGTTTGTTCCAATATCATAGTAAAAATGAAATTTCCTTTTCCTAATTAATATTTTAGATTTGTAAGGTAAAAGGGGAGGCAGAAAAAAGACTGCCTTTCCACCTAATAAATTATTTTACAGCTCCTTGTAAGAAACCCCCCATCTCCCATAGCTGAAGCACGCCAAGTGCATCAACGTGGAATTATATTTTTAGATGGAAGGAATGACCTGAAATGCTTTTGTCTTGAGAAGTAGACTATTCCCACTGGAAATTGTTAGATATAGTCAAACAGCCAGTCTCCTGTATGTTTCCAGCCCTCTTTTCCATGTGACCTCACCCCGCCTGGAAACGTCGGACTGGTGCCTCAACCTGCAGCACCCCCAATAGTGGTCAGTCTCCAGCTCCACTTTGCTCTTACACTACAGTCCTTTAACAATGACAGCCATTGATCCAGGGGCGTTCTCTAGTTCAGTGGTGCAGGATGCTTTAATTTTTTTCCCTCTGTTCTTTCCCATTCCGCAGGGGGTAACCAGTTTAAGGAGCTGTCCACCTGACTGGTACGTTGGGATGCTGACTGCTGTGTTTGCTTTTCTCAACTCATCCAGTAGCCGGTCTGAGTTCAGCAAGACATAGCGCCGGCCCCTCCCTCCCCCCCAGCTGTCCCCTAGACTCACCACGCAGGCTTGGTTTTGTTACCATTTGACTCCTGCATAATTTCCATCATCATCGAGAGCTTTTATACTAATAAATGTTTAACTTCATAACAAAATAAAACAGTAATACAGAACTGGTGGTCTGGGAGCTTGTTTGAGAGGAGTCTGAGGAACTCTTAGTTGAATTTCCCTAAGTTATTCTCAGTCCGTGTCTTGAGATTCTGAATATTTACCAACTCATATTTGTAGACAGAAAGCCTAGAAGGAAAAAACAAAGGAAAAAGTCAAGAGAAAACATTTTCTTGTTCTTCACTCCCTTCTTGCTCACTTTCCCTCAACTTCGAGCACCACCACTGGCCAGATAATATATTTATAAGAAGGATGAGAGAAAAACATTTCCTTGAATTTTTCTGTCTTCTCTACAAAGTTTTACATTCCTATTCATACCAAGGTACATAAAATTTGACAGATGTCGTTTCCTATAACACTCAAACTTTTTCTTTTCTTTTTTTTAAGTAAATGAAAACTGTGAAATTTTATCCATGAAGGACATGAAAGTCATATTCCCAAGAGGAAGGCACCTCATGGTACTAAGTATTTCTCCTTCCCGCAGGTGTGGTGCGCTGCACGTGGGAGATCACATCCTGTCCATCGACGGAACCAGCATGGAGTACTGTACACTGGCAGAAGCAACCCAGTTCCTGGCAAACACCACCGATCAGGTCAAGCTCGAAATTCTGCCCCATCACCAGACCCGCCTGGCCCTGAAAGGACCTGACCATGGTGAGAGGATCCATCTGGATAAACATCTTTATCTTGCCCTGGCAGGTGTTGTTTTCTCCAGCAGAGTTAGAAAACAGAAAGACACTGAATTTAATTCTGCTTTTACCATTTCTTTTCAAAACAAGATTATCTTTGTTTACTCTTCTTTGTCTTCTAAATCCCATTTTCCAAGCCATACATAATTTACTTGAAAACCCCAAATTGAGGAAAGAAACATTATTTGAAGTATAATTTTCAGGCTAGTACTATTTGATTTTTTTTTTCAGTCTTTTGTACAAATTGAATTAGGAGAGAGGGGAAATAATTTCACTGGTATTTATTTTGAATTTCCAGTCTACACAAAAGACAGTGAAGGCAAATAGTAAAACTATCACTTTTTTTTATGAAGTGGATATTAGATATTAATAGAAGACCCTTTAAATTTAGGGGTGTGGGGGCGGGACCAGTTATATGCAGGGTTGACTTTCTATACATTTTGCCTGTTTGCCAGAGAAGTTTTTTTTAAGGAGGAAAACAACCTTTCCAGGCAAACATCTTCCCTGGGAGAATCAGAATGTTTGACTACATTTATTCAATAAAAAGTGTCAGCTAAGGGAATCTGCATTTTCGCTGCCTTGAAGTTCACAGCTGTGTTTGCTAAATATTTACATGCCACCCACCTAGGCATCTTTAAACAAAACCTGGTGCAAAAAAAGAAACTTTGAGCCCAAAATCAAATGAAGTCAGGCTCTCCAGTGGGGTCTTTGTTTCAATTCTTTCGCCAACCTGTTCCTTATACCAAATATCCTCCTTTCTTATTCCTTGAAACTAAAAGCTTCACTAATGTCACTGTGGCCTGAGGAGGAGAATGCATTTCTGTCTGTTCAGAGAGAGTGCAATTTTCAGTGGAACTGGAATTTTGCTTATGCGGGGTCATTTGTATTATGTGTTTCCCACCTTCTAAAACACACTGCACTTTTTTGCAGTTCGTGAAGAAACAAAAAAAAAGAGAGAGAGAGACCAAATCATTTTCATACTGAATGAGTCAGCTGGATGCAACCTTTTTAATTAAATGGAGCTTAGATAGCCCTGGAGCTAATGAAAATCTCTAGTACAACATTACCCTTATCAGATTTTAATTTTACATATTGGAGTAGCGCAATGCACAGCATAGGCAGTTATGAAAAGATAATCGGCATCATTTGGAGAGAAATGCTAAGGAGTGTGAGAAAGCACACCATTCGTCCCTATCAGTCGGCCCCGGGGCCCTTCCGGCACCCTGGCTGAGAGGAGAGAGTTCTAAAACTGTTTTAATTTCTTCTAAATCAGTCTGAAGTCGTCATTGGATCTGGAGCACAGTGGGTGTAAGAATGCACGCTGTGTGGTGCTGTCAGTGTGGGATTTTGTTTGCTAAACTCTGGTATCAGTAAATCAGAAATGTGTAACAAAGCCTTTTAAAATATTATTATCTTTAGCAACGTCATTTATTTTCCTTTTATTTGCCCTGTATACAAATCATAAATAGTTCAAATAGTTTCCAACTCATGAAATATTAAATATTTTTACCTGCCAAGACAGTTTGAGATTACTTTATATACTGAAATATTTGGACCAAGACCAAATTTTTTTCTTCTGTGTGGAAAACCTAGTGTCATTTGCATGTGGGGAATAGGAAGCTGATAGTTTAAGTAATTCTAGCTTCCTCTTGTGACTTTGGCTGAAAGTGGTTCACTATCTTCTTTATCTAACATATAGCCATTTTCCCTACATTTTATATTAAAATCAGACTTGCATTTCCAAGAATAAATAAATATTGGCTCCTAAACTTAATAAAATCACAGTGAAGAGGGAAAAAAATACAAAAACAATTTTTTATTGTGTTTACAATTTTCAAACTTGCGTGTTGCTGATAACACCAAGGTCCAGGGTTCAATCCCTGTATCGGCCAGCTGCCAAAAAGAAAAAAAAAAAGAATACCATTATCAAATTTCTATTTTTGCATTAATGGAGTTTTATATGGTTTTACCCTTTTTTCACATGAAAGTTCTGGTTACTTTTTCAAGATCTCTAATGGCTGAACAGTGTGTCTCTCATCCCATAGGTGGATGGAGATACAACATTTCCCAAATTTTGTTAGCAACAAAGCATTCACCATGGTGTTTTCAGGGCAATATAGAAATGGAAATATCAACGTAGAATAAGAGATTAGCTGTGTCTTTCACTGGTAAATAGCAGCATTAAAGAAGCTGACAAAAATGAGTTTTCAATGAGGTTAGACATTATTCCTACCGAGAGCCTTTAGGAGACATAATCATGGTTGAAGGAAACAGACTTTGGGAAAGAAAATGTGACCAGAGGCAATAAGTTTGATACATTCAATACCAGGAGGACCTTCCATTTTGTGAGCTCCAGGAGCTACCACTGGAGCAGCTGTTGTCTGCTCTCGAGGACTTTGGGGTAGGGCAATAGGGTACAGTTAGAGAGGAGAACAAAGAAAGTGCCTTCAGTGCCATATACCTCTCACGACTGCAGCAGTGATGTCACCATGGAATGTTATGGAGAACATTCTATTTTAAACTTGCTGCTTACTTTTCTGCAACAAGGGACCTAGGAACACACATAGGAAGAGGCAGTGTAGTGTGGTGGCTGAGGGCAGGACCCTAGAATCGGACTTCCAGAGCTTTAATTCTGGCTCCACCACTTGGCACCTTAAGCAAGTTGACCAAGTTTTTTATACCTCAGTTTCTTCATCTATAAAATGAGGGTCATAATAATTCCCGTTCATAGGAATATGGTGAGCATTATCTGAGATAATCTGTGGAAAACTACTTAGTACAGTGCCTTGTATATAATACATACTCTGAGAAAGTAGGATGTTATTATTGGCACTATTAAATGAGAGAAAGTCTATGAATGCTCTTTGCAAAATGAAAGAGCATACCAATAATATAACATCTTAGTATCAAACTCCTGAAATACTTGCCTAATATATGAGTATCAAGTATACCACTATATAACAGAATGGATTTGGAATGTACCTTCAAAATAGGCAGTAGATCTTTTCTCTGGCCCACATTGTTTGTTGAACACCTTTCACATTCATTATTCATAGCATGCAATTTTGTGCATTATAATATATCATTTTTGTCTCAATTATTTCATAGGTATGAAGATTTAGTCCCCAGTGATAGTTCAAAGTCAAGTTACAGGTTACAATCTACATTTACCTGCTGCAACAATTGGCACAGTGCTGGACACACAATAGGTGATCAATAATATCTTCCTTATAGATTTATTAATTGGGCTTGATAGTCCTAACAAATGCCCAGTAATTTTCAAAGCACTCAGTAAAGACCTGGGTCAAAAGGTGGCTATAGAATTCTGAAGTCTATTCGCTGTTACCTGACTTCATTTGAAACACAGACAATACTTTGTAAAGAGCACGATATAGTACCTGTAGTGATAGATTAGTCAGACCCAGCAATAACTGCATCTTGTTAAAAAGTTTTTACATACACCCCAAAGTAGAATGAGGATAGTGAAAGAAAGTGCATTAGGGACCTCCCCTTCAACACTCTTCTAACTCAAGGAAAATGCTGCTGCAGTGTATACATGGGCACTCTGGCTGATATTCCTATTCATTCATGCACTTATTTATTTATTCATTCAGTCATCAATCATTACGTACGAGGCACTGTTCCAGTTGTTAGCATAAATCTACTGAGCAACATAGACAAAGCGGATCCCTATTCTTATAGAATTAATTCCAGTATGGAGAGACAAACAATTAAAAATATATTAAATAAATAGAGCCATTTCCGATGGTAATAAGTAGTATGAAGAATATAAAAGGGTAAAATTAAAAAAAAAAAATAAAGAATATAAAAGGGTAATAGGATGGCATGGGGGAGGGCAGCTACTTCATCCAGGGAGATCAGCAACAAGTTCTCTGAGGAGGTGGCACGTAGGTAAGACCTGAATGATGAAAAGGAGCCAGCCATACAAACAACTGGGGGAAGAATAGCAGGTGCAAAGGACCAGGGGCAAGAAAGAGCCTGGCTTATTCTAAGAAAAGACATAAGATCAGTGTGACTAAAACACAAATAATGGGAAGAGTGATCCAGATAAAGCTAAAGAGATAAGTAGGGGCCACATTTGATTCTCTTTAATGGTAAGCCATTTAAACAGGAGTGTCATGATCTAACTTATGTACTTAGAAGATCACTCTGGCTGTGTTGTAGGAGGTGGTTCTGCAGGAGATGAATCAGGAAGCCAAGTCCGGAGGTGTTGCAGTGGTCTAGATGAAGGAGATGGTGGCTTGAACTAGGATAGTGAGGAAAGAGAGGGAACTCAAACCAAAAACAGCAGCGGGGTGCGAGGAAAGGGCCAGATGGCTTAGGGCTACAAAATTATGGTGGCTGCGAATTTCTGAGAAGTTCTCTAGAACTTAAGTGCCCAGTGAGTGAAATTTGTCAAGTAAAACATGCATCTGTTTCCTTTAAAAGATACTTTATTGTTGGTAAGTAGATAGGAAATTAGGCAGAATCAATATTATTACTCACAGCTCATTTGTTTTTATTCTGTGACCTAGCACCACGCTAAGCACCTTATATGCGTAATTCTCATAGCAGTCCCTGGGGTAGGTGCTTCCATGATCTCCAGTTGACATATGAGGAAACTGAGGCTTAGAGAGGCTGAGTAGCTGGCCAAGGTCACATGGAGAGTAAGGGCTGGAGGCAGAACTGAAACCCAGGTCTGCCTCAAGCACCATGGTCTGTCCGTGCGAGTGCTTTTGTTCCATGTACTGTCTCATTCCAGACAGATGGAAAGTGGCCAGTGAAGCTGAAATCATGGATGGTATAACGTGAGCTCTTACCTAAATGTCCCTCCTTTAAAGACATACAGAGTGTTGGACCTTTCTATATGAATAAATACTATTAAATAATACACATACAAGATGCCTAACGTTAGACTCATGAAGGTAGAAGGAGATATAAGTTCATATATTATTTTTAACTCTTTAAGATTGTTAAATGAGAAATTTCATATCAGACGTAGTAACAAACATTATATTACTTATATTTCAGAATACTGGGTAGAATATCAAATCTTAACAGTGCTGAAATTCGAATGGAACCATGATAAATGTTTTTTTAAAAAAGAAAGAGGACACCAAGACTTTGACATAAACTTTACTAAAATTTTATGGCATCTTCAGGAAATACAAGAACATGTGAAGTATTTTAAGAATTAAATATTCCTTTTAAATGTAGATATACTTTTTCAAAAGTAATAAAATATATTGAGACTTTTATCTTCTCAGTAGTCAGGATACAAATAAGATTCTGATACTGATAGATGATTAGAGTGGTTTATTGTTGAGCAAAATCAAGTTCAAATGATGGATTGTAGTGTAATTAAAATGTTAGAGCAGTAAATCGTGATGTGTGACTAGCAAACTACTCAAATTATGAGCCAGTGTGATTTATTGTCCCTTCTTTTTCTTAAAACAAGCGTTACTAACTGGCCAAGATTTGCAAATCTTTAATTAGTAATCGTATGCCATAGATCTTTATGGGGCTGACTTTTAAGTTTTAAAAAAAATGTTTTTAATCTCTGCTGCGAAGCACAGGGGGAGATTAGAAATTGATTCAATAGTCATCTTAACAGGAGAAAAAATGGGCTAGGGAAAGACATGCATTATTCTTGGGAAGATGAAAAGTTTCTATCCCTGATGTTAATCAGCTGTTTTGCTGACCACTGAGAAAAGGACGAAGCCAAGTAGGTTGTTTTTTTCTTTGCAAGCAGTTTTCATTTCTGTTACATTTTTTATTTGTGCAATTCAGTTACTTTTTCCTCTTTTTTGGTTCTTTGTTTGTTTGTTTGTTTGTTTGTTTGTTTTTCTTATTTCTCATCATCACTTCATATGGCAGTGAAAATTCAGAGGAGCGACAGGCAACTTTCCTGGGATTCCTGGGCCAGCAACCACTGCAGCCTTCACACCAACCATCACTATAACACGTACCACCCTGACCATTGCAGAGTGCCAGCCCTGACATTCCCGAAAGCGCCTCCTCCAAACAGCCCTCGTAATGTTCCAGCCTTTCTCCTCCTGGTCTTTTATTTAAACTAAATTCTTCTCACTCCTTCCTCCTCTTAATTCATTACATCTTTGGCTTCATGGGTGTTGTGTACTTTTTATGTAGTAGCAACTTATCATTTCTGACATCTCCTAGGTCTTTTTCATTTCCACCAGAAAAAGAATTTGCATTTGTTGGTAGGAAAGGATGTAAATGTTCAGAATGCTTTATGTGTGGTTCAGGAAATAATAATTCAGAATATTACGTAGAGTACAGTGTTCTTGGATCTTCTTTTGTGTGTATGGAATCACTTATGAAATTCATGTCAGAAAATATCTATGAAAATGAGATTTTGTATCTGATACCTTGAGCTATTCATGGAGAAATTCGTTTTCATGTTTGTTTGTTTGTTGTCTAAAGCAAAATTCATAAAATCTTTGTGTTCCTATGTGCTTCTGAGGGTCCCACTATTCCTTAGCATATATAGGCTCTTGTTACTCTGGGATTCTCAAGCACTGCCTCATGGCTCCTGAGGCCTGGTCTCTGTCTGGTGGGGGTACTTACTAGCCATTGCTGTGTATCGTATGTCTTTCTGGATTGTGACTGGTTGGCAAGTGTGGCAGGCTCATGGCCCACCTGAGAATGCTCTGTGCCAAGTCTCCACTCTCTTACAGCAGCTTTGGTGTCTTCATCCTTCTCTCCTACCTCCATGAGTGCATACAGCCTGAGTTCCCTCAACATGGGGACTTTACCTCGAAGCCTCTACTCCACTAGCCCACGTGGAACCATGATGAGGAGGAGACTGAAAAAGAAAGACTTCAAAAGCTCACGTAAGTGAAAGGGTAGCCAATGCCATTTGACCTGGAGAAAACGTGTGGATCNAAAAGCTCACGTAAGTGAAAGGGTAGCCAATGCCATTTGACCTGGAGAAAACGTGTGGATCTTGGAGTCTTTGAAATACTGAACTCTAGGAGAAGAGTGTTTTCCAGTGCCTAAATAATCAGGTAGATGCTAAGTAGCTATGAGCTCTGTGCCAATAGCCATTGACATGACACCCATTGTCTATATGATCATGACTGCATTTGAATATAACTTCAGACTGAATTAGTTAATACTACCTTTGCCTACAACTTTTTATGTGAGTTTTTTTTTTTCTTGTTCTTTTTATGTCATGACATAACCAAAGATGTGATTTTTTTTTTTTTTAAGATTCCTTCTTCATATTCTAGGTAGCTTTGGACATGAAACCCTTGTTCTTAGTTTCAAATTCACTCTAAAGCAATTTTGTGAAAACTAAAATCCCCTTTTGATAAATATAAGAAAGCATATATAGGCTCTTGTTACTCTGGGATTCTCAAGCACTGCCTCATGGCTCCTGAGGCCTGGTCTCTGTCTGGTGGGGGTACTTACTAGCCATTGCTGTGTATCGTATGTCTTTCTGGATTGTGACTGGTTGGCAAGTGTGGCAGGCTCATGGCCCACCTGAGAATGCTCTGTGCCAAGTCTCCACTCTCTTACAGCAGCTTTGGTGTCTTCATCCTTCTCTCCTACCTCCATGAGTGCATACAGCCTGAGTTCCCTCAACATGGGGACTTTACCTCGAAGCCTCTACTCCACTAGCCCACGTGGAACCATGATGAGGAGGAGACTGAAAAAGAAAGACTTCAAAAGCTCACGTAAGTGAAAGGGTAGCCAATGCCATTTGACCTGGAGAAAACGTGTGGATCGTGGAGTCTTTGAAATACTGAACTCTAGGAGAAGAGTGTTTTCCAGTGCCTAAATAATCAGGTAGATGCTAAGTAGCTATGAGCTCTGTGCCAATAGCCATTGACATGACACCCATTGTCTATATGATCATGACTGCATTTGAATATAACTTCAGACTGAATTAGTTAATACTACCTTTGCCTACAACTTTTTATGTGAGTTTTTTTTTTTCTTGTTCTTTTTATGTCATGACATAACCAAAGATGTGATTTTTTTTTTTTTTTAAGATTCCTTCTTCATATTCTAGGTAGCTTTGGACATGAAACCCTTGTTCTTAGTTTCAAATTCACTCTAAAGCAATTTTGTGAAAACTAAAATCCCCTTTTGATAAATATAAGAATCTCATGCATTCATTTAATGTTTTTGTAAATTGCATACTAAATTATATTTCATGACCCACCCCCAACAAAAAAAAGCATTGGTAAATTTGAATATTCCTTTTAAAACCATGTCTCATTCCCTAAGATTCCAATACTTTTCCCAGAAACCTACCTCCTGATAATCACTGATCAAACCTGTATTTCTTATTGCCCACTCTAGCCTTAGGAAAGTTGGAAGGATGCTCATCTTTACAACAAGCAGTCTAAAGTCTAGGAATTTCAGTTATGATCCTTGGAAATATGATCTGCACAGCCAAGCACAATTATAGACTGGGCAAGACTAGGAAGTTGAGGTTGACTACTTGCTTTGGGATAGCCAGTTGTACGTATGAAGAAAAAAAGGGTGACAGAATGCCTTAACAAGAAAGAAATACAAATCACCCCTAAATTTGTCTTTTCTGTTGAGAAAGATCATAATCTCTCATCATAATCACATAGCTTTTAGAGAAATGAATACCTGCCTTTCCAACCAGATCCGTCATAGTCTAGAGAGGTGTATTTCTCGTTCTGTATCCCTTTAATCTCTCATCATAATCACATAGCTTTTAGAGAAATGAATACCTGCCTTTCCAACCAGATCCATCATAGTCTAGAGAGGTGTATTTCTTGTTCTGTATCCCTTCTAGTAGTCATGATTGTGATTTCCTGTAAAGAAACTTAAAGAAGATGGGTCTCTTCTTGTCCTTGCCATGGGAATAAAAATAAGGAATACCTTTAAGTTACCTGATAAAACCAAACCCAGATACTTCAAGGCTGACATGGACCTATTGGCTCTTCAGCTTGTTTGCCAGTTATTTGTCTCCCCAGGAGGATCTTTCCCGAGTCCCACCAGTGCCACCCTCTGTGCAGGAGACCAACCATCCCCCACACTTAGAAGTAGTTTCTTCATGTTACAGAAACCTGAAGGTTTCCTTACAAAGAAAACTATTGCAAAAGATAGGGCCAACACTGTGGTATACACATGATTTTGACTTACATGTATAAGGAGATTTGTCATCTTTAATATATGAAAATGAGAGTAAATTTAAACTAGAAAAATAGAAAGGAGATTGAGTTAGTCAAAATGGGAACAAGGAGCTTCTAGGGTCTCGTATGTTTCTTAGCTGACACTAGAGTAAATTATTTACTCTTGGAAGAAACTAGTTGAAGGCAATATATATAAGCTGGATAATGAGCCTAGACTCTGGAACCAGGCTGCCTGCATTCTCATCCCAGCATTATTACTTTCTAGCTGTAGAACTTTGAGCAAGTTTCTTAAGCTCTGTCTGCCTTGGCTAAAAATAGGAATAATTATAGTAATTAGTTCAGTGGATAATTGTGAAGATTATATGAGATCACATATATGTATGTATAAACACATTCACACACACATATGTGCTAGAACAACACCTGGTAAATAATAAGCATTATTTAATTGTTAGCTATTTTGAATATTTTGTGTTAGCCATTATATGCCTGAATCTGAGTTGTCATGTGTGAAAATCTGTTTACGCTCCTCTCAACTTTAGGCATTCTTCACAGTAGTTACACTTTGGCATAATACGTAGGTCTTCAGTCTTCCATATAATACTTTCAGGGTTTATAGATATTTGTCTATGAATTTTTCTTATGTATATGGCCTTTTGAGCAGTATTCATTACTGAAAGAAACAGGCCTTCAGTAGGGAAGAGCAATTAAAAGGAATTCGTTAATGTTTGTACTTCCACTTCAAAGGCTAACCATTTATTTGTGTTAGGTAAGCAGTGCTATGTTGATTAGGGCCACTAGTGAATACAAATAAATGATAATAAGTTTGGCTCTCTCAGGTTGATATTTGCACATCTTGAATTCTGTAGTGAGAAACAAAGCTGAGGCCACACCGTCACTGTTATCTATAACCAATTCGTAAATTCTCTCTTGAATCAGCACATTATTCTCCAATATAGTAGAAATATAAACAGAAACCTGGTTCAAGAAATTTCTGGTTGTTCATGTTTGCTGTAGACATTAGCCCCTAGAGAACCACTGACAATATACATACTAGAATGTTTATAAATGTGTCTCAGGAGATTATGCATTTTATATTTTAATCAAACAGTAAAGTCTAAAATGCTATAAACTTTTATTACCACTTCAAAAAGACCTGAAAAAATTATGATAGTATTACAAATTCAAAAAAAAAAAAGCCAAGGATTTCTTTTTCTTTTTTTTTTTAATATATATTTTTAGTGCTTAAGCTTGGTATGGTCACATTAGATGTAAAGGTCTTCCCAAATAAATGATAATAAAAGTTCTATTGCCACTCTCACTATACCATGGTTTATTTCCACCACTTTATTTATGTCTTTATTCTGTGCCACCATTTACTGCCCCCATTCTAACACTTGTTTCTATAGCAACCAGGCCATTTGTATGGATGGTGAATCATGGCAAAAGTCACAAAAATAATAAAAACTCTCTGCTGTATTGGTGATGATTTGAGGCCAGAGCTTACAAAACAGAAAAAAATTGTCACATGTGTTTCCAGCACAAAGGAAGAACATGGCCAGAAAAGAATGAAATCTTCTCACATAAATATTAAAACATTCTGCATCACTGACCAAAGGGGCAAATACAGGGAGTCTGTAGCAACATGTTATAAGAATTCAACTAGGAAGGTGCCGTGTTTGTTTCACAGAGACAGTGATGGGTACAGCACGCGCTGGGCTTTGAGGAGTGTCACAAAGCCCTGGGAGGGATGCAGAGTGATGTCATAGAAGGAGCCTGCTCATCCCCTCTTGTGGAATCTTACTGGCCTTCCCCCCACTTCCTGGGCCACAGAGGCCAAGGCTCCTTCCAGAACTCCATCCTCCCCTTGTCATGGCAGCCTGGCTGAGCAATGGATCTAGCCCGTTCCCCCTGTTTTCTGCCTCCTGCTCCTGTAAACAGAGCCAGTATAGACACTCTGCCTGTTCCCAGTCTGCCGGCATTGCAGCAAAGCGTAGAAGTTAGAACACATTCCCAAAATGGGCTTTGCTCCTTTTGTCATCGTCACTTACTACTAGGGAGGATGATATTGAAAAGAGCCGAAATGAAGAGAATGAAAAAACTTAACAACTTCTCTGATCCCTTCTGCCAACCCCTGAATATACAACAGAAGATAAAGGCAGCAAATGGTAAGCTTTTATAAGTGACCATGCCAGGAGCCCTCAAAGGGGACAGCTTAGGAGCTGCCCTCAGCCCCCGTTTGGAGAAGGGAGCTATTGGCCACTCTACTGCTCTCCTGAACTGGATCACATGATACACAATGTGTTGGGTCCACAGCAGGTTGACTCTAGTGTGGAGCACTTTAGTGAGATGGAAGTCAAAAATTACAGGACCAAATAATAAAAGCATATTATATTAATAAACCTTTGAGGCTCTTTGCTCTCTATCTTGTTTAAGTGCTTCTCATATCTGACAGTAAACCTCATAGCCTTCTAAATTAAATAAACATCTGGCAGATGTTTTAACTTTTGGAGGCAAAGACAGTTCTTTGGCTCCTCCTTTCCTCCCTTACACTAGGAAAGACAAGAATTGACAAAAACTCATAGCCTTCTAAATTAAATAAACATCTGGCAGATGTTTTAACTTTTGGAGGCAAAGACAGCTCTTTGGCTCCTCCTTTCCTCCCTTACACTAGGAAAGACAAGAATTGACAAAAACAAAAAGTCATTCCCTGCAAA